TTTTTTAGCCACTGCAATTTTAGTCTGATAATGTGCAAATTTGAAGTGGCTACGAATTACCGTTAATTTTTTAGATTTTTTTTGTCGCATTGGCTTTCATATAATGAATAAACTCAATTTATTTGTATATGGATGAAAACCGCAACACCTTCGGCGAAAAAAATTCTAAAAAATCACCGTNTACCGTTAATTTTTTAGAATCTTTTTTGTCGCATTGGCTTTCATATATTCATGAATAAACTCAATTTATTTGTATATGGATGAAAACCGCAACACCTTTGGCGGAAAAAATTCTAAAAAATCGCCGGTAACTTTCAGTCACTTGAAACTTGCACATTGTCAGACTATAATTGATTGGGCTATAAAACTGTGTATTCAGAAAAATTCAAACACTGCCGAGAATAAAGTTCGAAATTTAGGTGAAAATTTGTTGCACTTTTTTGAAGCTTTTTTGTTGCTGTTTTATGAACACTGCAAGCAAGGCAGCCAGTGCCACTCGAACTACCCGCAAAACACGAAAGTTAACAAATAACACACTGGAAAGATTTAGTGATGTGTGTCATGACCAGGGAACGGATTTTATGGAAATTGCCTTTTTTTCTGCTAAAGAGATAGAGTATATTCGATTAAGAATGTCCACGATTTAGCTTTCCCTGATTCCATATATACACATTTGATGTTGCCTTTTTTGCCTTTTTTAAGATACTTGCCTTTTTTAAGATATTTGCCTTTTTTGCCTTTTCTACCTCTAAAAAAGTGATTATAGCATTTACAATATTTTTTAGAGATAAAAAATATACACATGCCCATGCGACTTATAGAAGCGCAAAGACCTCTTGCCAAGTTGGTGTGGAAAAATTCAAAGCAGCTTTCTCAGCTAACGTAGGCTTGGAGACAATAAGGGGTGTGGATAAAATTGTAAAGGGCGAGGAAAACGCCCTTATTCCTGATAATATGAACGTTTCAAACGTTCCATATTTAAATTGGGCTCCACTTGTATCACCTTACGTCGAGCGCACATTTAGTACACTCAAGGCTTTTCTTCGCGAAAATCAAATGAAAATGCTGCCAGAAAAC